TCCCAGGGTCCCCTCGTAGAAGCATTGTTTTGCATGAGGGCATTTGCAGTCGCCATCCCTGTCAGGATGGGAAACCTGGACAGGGCTCTCAATTCCGCGCTTGGCTCTGACCGGATGTTGAAGCATGAAAGTTCCGGACAGGCACATGGCATGTCACTTCTGGCAATAAACTATCAAAGCTGCTGACCAGAAATTGTGCGATTCTGCAACAAGCCAAAAAGATGCCCAAACCGAACAAGGCACGCTGGCAAAGTTTGGGCAGCCGGAGCTACCGGGTCCGGCTTCCGTGCGGCTGTCTGAAGTCTGCGTGGCTGTGTCCTGGGGTTGACGGGTAAAATGCAGTAAAGGATGCCATGACCAAAGCCCTCTGTTCATAATTACCAATACCGTTTTGGGGGTCCTTATTCGAATTATAGCATAATGGGCCCCAAAACCCTATTCTAATTCTTAATCCCCCCTCTGTTCTACGAAGTCTTCCTGGATGTAGTAGCAGAAGTTGTCCGCGTTTTTCAGCGCCAGAGCGGGATCGGCGCGAGCGAGCTTCTGGCATGTCGATCGGCCATAGGCCGTGCGCCCCTCGAAATCCACGTCATCGGTGAAGGCGGTGGCATGGTGCGAGCCCTCATGGACCAACGTCTCGACCATTTCAGCGGGTCTCTGGAAGTAGAGGGGGCATAGGTAGAACACATACTTCTTGCTGTGTCTCATGGTCGTGCATGGTCGTGATGATTGCTTTCCTTCTTTGCACGTGTAAGCCTGGGGGTAGACGTACGCGTACGTGTTCGGCTTACACTTTGGCCCAGGATAGACATACCTTTGGCAGGTCTTGGAAAGGACCATCCCGAGATCAGCCGAGCAATCTACTTAAAGACCCGAGAACCAATAAAAGAAAAGCACTACCAAAAACAGAGAACGGATGAACAGTCGAGGCACACAACGTTACTGATCATGTGGTCGACCGAATTCAAGACACGCAAGATCTCTTTCCGTGACCTTGCTGAGACCAGTGTAGCGCTCCATGGGATTTGCACGAGTCATGATTCTCCGACTGACCAAGACAGAGAAGGGGGAGGACATCGGCGTGATGCTTGCAACTTCGAACCGTGCCAGTCCCCCGGTCTGAACCCGATTGCTCTAGAGACTCTAGAGTCAGACGAACCCCCCAATCTCGGAGCGTCCCCTCACTACACCTCAAGCGGCCGCTTTAAGTACAACGCAGCACTTGTTTTTAGATGCCAGTGGCAGTTGGTCGGAGAAGGCCCGCGTGCCGAACCATCGGCTCATCTGCGCCTTTGCTACTCCCGAAGCTACTGGTAGGAGCAGAGGCTACAGTGCCCGAGATGCAGAATAGTGCACTGACAATGGCAGTACTGTACTGCGAGCAACAAGGACGATACAAGCAGTCACGATGCTACCAAACTGATTATTAGTGCAACCATTACAAGAGGACGAGCTGATAGTAGAGCGGGCTCTCGAAGCCCGGGGTGGTGGATGAAAAGAAACTACCGCAAGGCTGTTCCTTGGGAAGACCTATACTCTTGACATCTCTTTGCCCTAAAACCCTACCTGAAGCGCTGCTTCGTTCACCCCTTTTATTGCCACCGCATTCCTAAGCCATTTCTCGGAAATGGACGAGCAGTTAGTTGCCGCATGCAGGTACATCTTCTGCGGCTAGTTTCTACATTTCGGCTTTGCCCTAACATCCTGTACCGTCAAAAAGAAACCCTACTAAGCCTCCCCAAACTCGGCCTGGGTTTGCCGGCCGCTGAAGGCTCGAATCACGATGCCCATGTACGCCTCACAGCTTTGGGAACTCGGGGGTCCCGGGCTACTCCACGAAGTGCTGCAAGATCCTCTGAATCCACTCTTGGCCGACAGTTCTCAACGTCAGACGAGGCAGGAACGTATTTCCACATAACGTGGTCGCACTGTGCTTCTTGCGCTCTGGCCACGAGGAACGTCCGGCAATGTTTTTCTGTGGCGCGCCCTGCTCGGCCCGTGCTGCTGTGCAAACGAACAGAGGTAAACGATTCGAGAGCAACTTACCTTAACCTACGAGTATAGTGTATACTATAGTGCCCTTCAGTGGGTGTCAAGCTGCCAGGGGAACAGGTCTCACGAGGAAGCACAGTCTCAAAGCAATTTCTCTAATCCAGCAGACGATCTCTGTCCGGGTACAGGACAGCGGACGATGAATGTGCGCAGAGGAATCTTCGACAAGCACTTTCTTCAAACTGGTGTAGGGTTTGAACATTTTTGAACTCTCACAGCCGGCTAAATCCACAGCAGCGGAATTCGCAGCGGCCCGAAATTCGGGCTGCTCTGCAACCAAGAATCTCCGACCCTCATCAATCGATCCACGTCCCGGCAAGTTCAAGCCCTAAACCCAAACGCTGAACACACTTGGGATCTTTCTGCCTGATGTGCCCCCAAGTGGCCTTGGCAAGCTCCTCCTTCTGCTTGTTGAGCCTGGCCTGGTCCAAGCTCGGAGGGGTGGGGAGAACATGAAAAATCCCCCGTCGGGACCCGGGGGGACCGACTCTCCCCCTCTACACTGACATCAGCTGCCCTTGGACACCACACGAAGCAACCAGCAAACAACGGGCAACAACAGCTCTCTACCACACACACACACACACACACACACACACACACACACAAGCATGTACTCACGCTGCCCACCAGGCAAACTAAACACAGAGAGCTCAAGTTATCTGTGCTTCGCTGTGTGTTACTTTCCCGGCCCCAAGCTTACGCCTCACCCGTGCTCGTCTGCAGGAGTTTTTGCTGCTTGTAAAACCTACAGTAGTAGCAAATAAACCCGACGACATGGACCGAATCGACACATGAACTCAAAGTCCCTGAATACGACACCCCGATCCCATTCCAGCCAAAAGTTGACGGCCTTGCTTCCCGAAGGGAAGCTGCAAGGCTTTGCGGGGTTTAATTGGGATTCGTCGCTTTAACCCTGCAGCCGATACTTTCTCACACGAAGCTACCTTGCAACCACTTTGGCCTCCGAGGGGGTCATGCCAGATGCTGTCTGCAGGAAGCCAGTCACGCCTCGGGCGTCAGGGCCTTCAAAGATTATGGTACTTGGCGTGGACAAACTGAAGCTAGCGGGGCTCAGGGCTGCCATCCCGACAAGCTTCCTTGATCTGGGGTCCTTGCTGTCAGGGTGACACTCTTAAATCGGGAACCATGGCTTGAGACATGAACCAAGACACATATTTAAGGGCGAAGAAGGAGTTTCGGATTTCGCGAAACGTGTGGGTGTTCTGCTTCTTAATAGGCATGGCTCCAATTCCTGCTTCCCCCAGAACCTTTTCTGGGTTCTTCGCCCCCAGCTAAGACCCCCCACTTGTCCTGCGTGTTTGTGCTCTCAACCCACGACCTCCAAAACTTGATAAATCCCGATCTACCTAACCCTGTTCTCATCCCCACACAGTGTGGATGTAGCATGTTGGCGTCGCGATTATTCATTACCGTACGTGCTCTATACAGCCTCAACCGTGTAAAAGCATACATGTTTAGACCGCTCCAACACATGCAGCCGGCACACCCTCTTCCTCATCGTCTTCGTCATCATCTTCGGCCTGCAGTGTCGAAGCTGCAACGTGCAGCCTGAAGCCCGCAGGACATGAAGCCCTTGGGGGGTGCTCTTCGCTTACGGTGAGTCGAACATGTTTCAAGCTCGCACTTGACTGAGAGAGCAACCTCTTATCTACATCGCGAGCCTCCGATGACGAAGATCCCGGCCTGCCATGTTGATTAGGCCCGATCTCAGGGCGTAAAACACGCAGTCGCGTTGAACGCAGATGTGCTGGACACAATTGCAATCGGTGCTTTGTCTGCTGCTGTGCTCTCCGGTTGCTACGTCTTCGTTGCAGACATAAGAAGTACAACTTTCCAGGGTCCTTGTTCTCAAGTCCGGTGCCCTCAGTACTCCCAAACCAAACCTTCTGGAAGCTGTGTCCGGGCTTTGAGACACAAACTCTGGCAATGGCCAGCTTGGAAGCTTTAGGAAGCCTTGGGCTTTGGAGTGCTACTCTGCTACTTTCGTGCACGAAGCAGGAAGGGCCTCTCCGTAGGATAGATGCGGAAGAGGTTGGCAACGCGCTCCACCATCTCCCAAAGGTGGTAGTCCACCTTCTCGGGCACCGGCTGCTCCTCGGCTCTCTCCCCAAGGGCAGAAGACCCGAAACTCGGATGCAAGAACCCCTCACTCGCACTCCCGAGAGAGGCTCTCCCTGGCAGGCCACCGGCCGAGAAAATCTGAGGCAAGAAGACTTGCTACCAGTTGCAGAGCATTGCAGAATACTGACGCCCGATCTTCCGGACAGTTCGAGTGTGCGCCAAAAACCCACTGTTCGACCCGCAACTCGCTACCCCGCCCCCCTCCCATCACATACCAAACAGGTTCTCTGGAAGCTCTGTGGGCTACTAGTACTATAGTACCGAAGCTCCAACCTTCAGCCCTAAAACTCCCCGAGGTGAGACCTCGACCAAGCCCCTCGCGGATCCGACGGCCAAGCACTTGAACTTATGGCTTAACTTAAGTGTCTCTGGCAACTCTGCCCTAAGCCTTTAGTTGGCCTTTAAGATCCTTTAAGCCTGAAGTTGAGGGTCTTAATTCTTCAACTCCAGACGGTGCGCACATGCTTGGCTTGGAAGGGAACTACGGCCACAGGTCCACCCGACTGAGGGTATAGGTGAACCAACTGCCCCAGATATACAAGGACGATCAAGCTCGCCGACTCGCAGAGCCACCGGCATCCACCCCGCGCGGTTGAGCAGTGTAGGCTGTAGGAGGGGCGAGATCTGTGATCTCTCTCTATCTCTCTGGTTATCTGTTTGTCCTGTACAAACCTCAGCCAAGGCTCCCTTGCTCGACCCCTGCGCTGCGGTTCGTCATCGAGCTCATGCAGAAATTCCTCTCATCCACTCCCCCCACCCCTAACCTACGCTCGAAACTCAAGCCTCAGCCCGTAACCTACAAGAACTGCACGTACGCTGAAGGGAGGCCTCTGGCACGGTGCTTTCAAGCCGGAAACTCGTAGAATGAGGAAATGCTGAATATGGGCTGAAGGGGTAGAAACCTGCATCCGATCTATATTTCGTTGCTTGCACCACGGATACCCGAACCTGCGCCAAATCGCACAACTCAAAGCCAAAACACTAAACCTGAGAATATGTACATCATATGCCGGAGAGAAATTCTCATTGCGTAAGTTTCAGCACATATCCAAAACCCAGAGCACGCAACTGTTTCACTCTGGCATACGCGGTGTTCCTCTATAAGCCTTCGAAGATGTTCGAGGAGTTTCGTTCTTTGTATAGATGTTTTGCCGATTGGCCTTGTCGCCGAAGTCTGGTATGTCCTTCTCCTCGCGAGGGCCTTGACCCTTTAAGATGGAGGGTCGGACGTCGAGATCACAATAGGTCTCGCCTTCGACATTGTAGCAGGAGACGTCACCTGAGCCATGTCTTCAGCTGGCTTGGCGCAGGAAGTTGTTGGGAAACATGCTGTGGTTTCCACTGGAAGACAGATCAGGAGGCCGTTATGAAGTCCTTGTGCCCCAAACTAACACACGGCACGCATGCAAATGATAGGCGGGTCACTTGTGACTTCTGTCGGGTGTCACTTGTGACTTCTCGAGAGGCGGGTCGCTTGTGACTTCTGTCGGGTGTCACCTGTGACTTCTCTAGCCAGCGAGTTTGCAACACCTCTCCGCAAAAATGCATGAAATCACTTGTGGCTTCTCTGGCTTGGGCTCGGGTTTCAACCTTGCATATTCGACTTTCTCGCAAGGGTTCGCGGTTTGGGGTCAGGGTTCAGGGCCCACGATCATGGGCTTGGGGTCGAGCCTCAGTTGAGGGTCTAGGGTTGACGGTTTAGGGGTTTCAGGGTTTAGGTTTAGGGCAGCGGCCCCGAGTTTTTCAGGGAAATAAATGCATGAATGATTTCCCTGAAAACTGCTCCTGGTCTTATAGGGTGAAGCATGAGGGTTTGGGATAGTTCAGGGTGCTTTACGGCTTCGGGTGTTCAGGGTTTATTCGCCCGTTTAGGTTTACGCTTCGGGTTTACGGTTTGGTTTGGGGTTTGGGGTTCAGAGTTCGCGGTTTAGGGCTAGGGTTTAGGGTGTACGGTTTAGGGTTTGCGGTGCAGTGTTTAGGGTTTGGGGTGTGGGTTCAGAGTTCGCGGTTTAGGGCTAGGGTTTAGGGTTTATGGTTTAGGGTTTGGGGTGCAGGGTTTAGGGTTTGGGGTTCAGGGTTTAGGGTTTGGGGTTCAGGGTTTTTTCCCTCCTACCTAGCAAGGACGAAGCCCGCATTGCAGGGAGTCTCAGAAGAACAGCTGTAGGGCAGAGCTGCTTAAGACTGGACAAGCAGCTAATTAGTACTCAGAGCAAGCGAAGCCAAGCCTGTGTTTCAGCCAGCTCCACAGGTTGCTCCAAGTATGTTCGCAGCAACTTTGTTGGAGCGGATTCTCAAAGCTTGCAGAGTGTCAGTAAGCTCACCTTACAAATGCTGCATGAAGCAAATTGAAGGCATCAGACAGGTTTTGTCCGATAACACGCTCAGTCTCAGTCGCTTGACTCATTGACAAAGCAATGATCGAAACAGCAACACTTTTCCAGTGGTTGTGCAGTTATGCAGGCAGCAGAGAAAGTGGCAAAGGCAAACTCGTAGAGCTCTCACCATAGACACCGTCAGCTATGCAGAGGTCTCAGCTCATGCAGCAGCAAAATGCCGTCGACCAAATTCCATGAAGGGAGAAGTTCCCGACTGCATTGCAAGCAAATTCAGAATTGTCGCCAGTAAGGGACTGCCAGCGTGATCCACAACAGCATGCATCCATGCAGGCTAGCTCGCATCTGGCAGGCATGCATCGTCAGGCATAGCAGTGTTGAGATTGGAATTAGTGCGGACACTAACTCCAATCAAGCATCCACAGAAACACCAGTAGGTATATCAGCGCTAAGATTGGAACTCATTCAAGTATCAGTTCCAATCAGAGCAGCTAGCCGTGTAGGGCAACTCCAGGCCATGGTCAGACTCCAGTCAGGGTCCACACTGTGTCAAGTTTGGGCACCAGCGGTGTGGCAGCTCAAGAGCAACTTTAAAAAAGTGTGCAGCTAGACCTCCAGGTTGTGCACGGCCACAGCACAGTGGAGTGTCAGGCAGTTCGTGTAGACCATAGACAAAGCAGACAGAGGCCATTACCGACACCAGCCATGGCTGGTGTGATGGACTTCCCCGAAATCCAAAGTAACAAGCTACCGTGACATAAAGATCCCGTCAATTAGCTAGAAGAACCCAGGAACAGAACAATGGTCCATGGAAACCGGATAGTTCATAGGGCCCTGAAAGCAGAGCAGGCACGGAGCAGTGAAAAGGTGGGGAAACGACGAAGTGGGTGTGTTTGTGCGGCAGGTGCTCTGCAATGGCGCGTGGTCGGTGAGCGGACGGTCTTTTTTTCTAGGTTTTTTGCGGGCTTCCGGAGGTGAGGGTCACGACGCACGCATAAAGCAGAGTGTATACTAGTGTTTTGTCTCCCGCGGCAGGCTCTCTCTTTGTGTGTATGCATGTGTGTGCAGCAATGGAAAACTCCGACGTCCAGGGCATGCTGAATTCCAAATTCCGAATATCCGAATTTCCGAAACTCCGAAGCAACAAAATCCGAAGTCAGCACGACCGAAGTACCCAGTCAAAGCTTCAGAAGTACAAAGTGCAACCGTTGCAAAGCTGAATTACAAATTAGAGAGCTGGTATCGTATCCCCTGTCATCACTCATCTCGTTGCGTGGAAGTCCACGAAGTCGATGACGGAGAGCGGGGAGCTTGGGTGTTCGGATGGTTTGCAGGCGGGCTCGTATGGCTAGCGTTGGGGGCCGAATGGGATTCCTGGGACTCAGGCGCCTCAGATTCCGACGAAACACTGAAAACAATGCCATGACCTAAAAGTGCGTGTCTTCTAGCGGCTTGCACACTATGTTGAAAAGCGGCTTGGAGGTTCAGTTGTGTTACCTCGGGAACGGAGAGCCTAGGGATACAAGGAAAGCTGAAATCCCGAACTAGGCAACCGCATGTATCAGCGTCCAGGGTAAGTGTTGTCCATGCAACAAGTACGAGTCTGCGCGGGCCTGTCCACGCTTCTGTGGCATGGAGTTGGGTCTTACCATTAAAGATCAGGGGGGCGCTGTAGCAGTCATAGATTGCACCTGGGACCTGCATGCCATGAACGCGTTTGGGGACAGTGCCGGAGGACTTAGCCATCCAAAGACCTCCACCTGTGTCGCATGACGTAAGGCTGAACAGACACTGATCTTCAGGACCGTTGTTCACGTCTCTATGTGGGCCTTTATCTGCGTTGAGCCTGAGGGAAATGACATTAAAAGGGAGGTCAGGGCAGTGGCGCTTCACAAAGGACGCAAGTAGTTTAGTAGTGTTCGGCATTTCATGGGTGAGGCTACTGAGACAGCTTGGCTTGCGGGGGTTCACACCTAGCAGAATTATCTGGGCATGGGGATCATGTTTGTCGCGTTGCTTGGCAGACTCAGGAATGGTGTCCCAGATCTCCACTATTGTGTCCCTTCGCACTGATTCCCCTCGGTCTAATTTACACTGTGCTGCATAGGCAATGGTTTCAGGCAACGTGAGGGTGGGGGCTACCTGCAGTTGGGAGGACAGCCTACGGATGTGAGTTGCATCAAGCCCAAAAGCCTCAGGTCCTAACTGAAAAGTCCTAGGTACATCATGTTCCATGGTGGGTTCATGCGCGGCATCGGTGTGTTTTCTCTTCATCCCAGCAGCTATACAACCCTGCTAGCCTTGATGACAACAAAGGACTGCGACTCACAAGTGAATCATGGAAGTGCAGCACAATGTCGGAAGCACAGGCAGGGGAGCGCTCGGGATCCTTCATTTTCAGAAGCGAAGCTTCGGACTGTTGTTTCGTGAGCATCGGACTACTGCTTTCTTTGGCTCATTCGTCGTGTCAATTAGGAGCCATTGGAATTACAAATTCAGGTTTGTGCAAGGATTTAGATGCAAGATTACCAATTTGATGCAAGGTGGGGCAGATGCAATATGGTATTAAGCAAGCATGCAGCAGCAATTGGCAGTGGTGCAGCAACAAATTTGGGGCATGCAAGATAAATTAAGCCATTGGGACCATACGAGTCCGAGCCAGGCCAGCACTACGACACTGTGTAGCAGTCAAAAGGCTCACTTGAAGTATGTTACAGGCAGTATGTTACAAGCCGGAAACTACGAAGGAGAAGACATCAGAAATTCCCTCTCGCCATGAGGGTGCGAAGCAGATCCGTGGTCGAGACACTCCTGAGGGGGTCCTGAACCATATAGATAGGCGGCTGTCCAGCAGCCGTCAAGCGCTGCAAGTGCTCTGCCAGGCGGATCGGCTGCGTGGGCTGCGGCTGAGCATGCGCATGCTGTGGGGGATCCACAGAAGCTTGGGCCGGCGGCGTAGTCGGCTGTGCAGCGGCTTCACCAGACGGCGGGGATCGCTTGAGGATTTTCGGTGTGCGGTCCAGGACGACTTGGACTTGGTCCTGTATGATTTTTTGGGCTTCATTTATTTGCAAGACCGCATCCTGAACTTCGGCAAGCGTCTCCTGAATACCGCCCAGCATGGACTCGATCCGGAGGGCCCTCGTGTCCGTGTTGCCAGTTATCTCTTGCAGAGCCAAGAGATCCTCAGCTGTCTTGGTGTTAGCCTGGTTGGCCTTCACGAGATAGTCGAGGATGTTGTTGATATGATCCATGAGGGTTTTGTTGGCCGGCACCAGTACGTTGAGGCCTCGGAAAGAGCTGGCAGTGGAGCCCTGGAGAGACTGGACATCCTTTTGGATGCTGTCCTGTCTCTGTTCGCTCCTCGTCTTTGCCACATGCAGGTCCACGCTGGTCTGCTTGAGCGAGGCGCGGATTTCTTCTGTCGTCGTCTTTAACTCCGTCAGCTTTTCCCCTTGGGCTTTCTGTTCTCCCTGCAAATAATGCAAGGATTCACGCCCCTGCTTGAGAAGTCCATCACTGAGCGTCTCCTGTAGGCCGAAGGCTTTAGCAGTATCAAGCGCCATGACCGATACGGCTTTTTCTGTCCTCGGAAGGCCAGAAGCAAACTGGTAGATCTCCTTGATGCGTGGTGGGATCTCTTGCATCCACAGCTCCATCTTTTTGCCCGTGTCATCGGCTGCAGCAGCAATTTGCTGCACTGTTGACTCCATGAGGGGCAAAGTGCGATTTTGTTGCAGTTCTGCAACAAAGCCGTGCAGTTCACGGTTGTCTTGGCAAAGTTGCAGCATCTTTGCATGCAGGCACTGAAGAGCTGTGATCACATCAGGGTCGGTGGTGTGCTGGGTTTGCATTCCTCCGGAGATCTGGGCATCCAGATCCACAAGAGCCCTGGTGATCCCCTTGAGAAGTCGCGAGTGGCTTGCAGCATAGCAATACTGAACCACCGTAAGGACAAGCAGCCATGAGATCAAAAGCACTGTGATGGCAATCAACCAGTTGTGCCCCTGAACGAAGAGCGAGCCCAGGGAGATAACGTCACCGAGTTGCTCTAGGTTCCATCCTGCTGCTGCCTGTGCTTCCATGCTCGGCAGGTCATAGCTCATGCCGTCCATGTTGCTAGTAGTACGGTAGAGGCCGGGGAGTGAGGCTACTCAGGCTTCAGGGAGCAGCAAGAGGCTTCAGAGATTCGCGGGCTTCAGTCCTGACAGACAGCATGGCAGGGTGCAATTAAGCGTCCGTCCTGCCCCCCCCCCTTCCCGTCTCATATGTATGTAGTGCACGCACAGGCGAGGCTGAAGGCCGAGTGTGAAAGCTGAGGGGACATGAAATAGAAATAATCGAAAATGCAGGAAATCAGGGCCCGAGCCAGGAGTGAAAAGCGGGCATATTTTGGTTGGGGAGCGTGAGGAAAACCTTGGAGAAGTCTGCTTTACGGTACAAAGTGCGACTATGAGTAAACAGAAGTGCGGATTTAGCAGCTTTGTCAGTGGCTGTGTGGAAATTCTGGAGGAAATTTGTTTGTACAAGAACAGGAGTTCGTGGATGTCGTGGGGATGGCAGGAAAATAAAACCTGTTCTTGGAGAACTTGAAGAACAAACGCCGAATCAGTCATGAAAACAACAGGAATGTAGAGAAAAGGAAGCGCGTTGCGGATCATCTTGAAAGCTTGGATAGCTGCACGAATTTCTGCCCGTGTGTTGGCGCAGCGTCCTGTAATGAAAGCTTGTGCGATAACCGCGTCTTCAATAGGAGCGTAGGGAGCGAGAAAGGAAACAGCCAGACCTCCTTTATAGTCTTTACAACTACCATCGGAGCAGACCTGGATAGCGGCCTCGTTATCGAAAACCGCTACGTCTGGTACAAAACGAAAAGAGGATTCGTATTCAGGCTCGATGGGTACATGACGAAATGGGAGGAGAGTGAATTTCTCGCCAGTTTGGAGGAGACAACGACCGAGAAGGTCAACAGAAGGCAGGTCGGGATAATACTGGAGGGGTTGCAATTTTTTGTGGTCCAGCCAGGTGTGAATGAAACGCTTCCATAAGTTTTTATTAGCAGCTGCTTGTTCCCAGTATGGGGGGGTACCTAGGCCTCGAAGTTCTTCCCAAGCAAGTTGAATTAGGCGGTATGAATTAGGCCAATAGCCAAGGCAGCGCCTGTGGGATTTCCAATTAGCGTGCAACCAGAAGGTATCGCGAATTCGAAGAACAACGGAAATAGGCGCGTGACGATAGGTACGAATACGAGCAGCATGCCCCCAATAAGACATAAAGGTGAGCGCGTGAATGCCTGCCCAAGACTGATGTGAGAGCGCTTGTGCGCACATCTTACTAGCACGGCGTCTACAGACCCAATTCGACGAAGAGGTGACAAAGGGGTCGGATGAAAGCGCACACAGGGAAGTAAGGAGCGTGTTGTGCATGACCGAGAGCATGTTGCTGACAGCTGTGACTGGACGGATACAGGGGCTAAGCCACCGCCACTTAGACGTTACGTAAGTGTTGAGGAGATGAAGGCGTTTGCGCAAAGAAGCACCTGGTCTACGAAGAATTTTATAATATCCCCAAAAGGCATTATTGGTCATAGTTAGACGGGCAGCTAGGATGGTTTGTGCATTCAAGTCGAAACCCATGAGAACCCCAAGAAACTTGAAAGAGCGCACAGGAGATATGTCAATGTGGCGGACTCGAAGGGGGCGAGAGGGCAAGTCAGGAGAGACGATGAATTTGCACTTATCTAGCGCGAGTGTAAGACCAATAGATGCGAGAATATCGATTACACCTTCGAGGAGACGACGTGCTTGTTCATACGATGTAGCGAGGAGAATAATATCGTCAGCGTAAAGAAGGTTAAAAAGTTTACGAACGACGCCATTGTCGTCTTTGGATTGAACCCAGGTATTCTCGGAAATGCTCCATCTGGTGTGCAAAAAACCTAGGTAATAATCCAAAGTACGACCAAAAATCTCAGCACTATAACTGGATCCCTGTAGGAGTCCACGCAATAACTTTTGCTGCCAGGAAACACCGGAAATGCCCAAAGAGACTTTTGAAGAGGTAATAATCTTCAGAAGGCAGAGAGCTTCAAGACTAGCACCCCCAAGTGCAAGGAAACTGGCCACAGAGTCATGGGATAAGTGGTCAAATGCAGATGAAACATCGAGTTTAATTGCGATAAGAGGGAGTTTGTATCCCTGAGAAAGATGAATTAAGTGTTGCAAACAAGTAGAGCCATCAAGTGTTTGTGAGCCCGGGATACAGGCAATTTGATTGCCTGAAACAGGGGGAAAAGATGGACGGAGGCGAAAAAGTAAGATTTTGGTGAGCAGCTTCGCGGGAGTAGAAGAGAGAACGATAGGACGTAGATCCTTGGGGTTGGAGGGGGTTTTCACTTTTGGGATGAAGGTGAGTTTGGAAGCGAGCCAGGTGTGCGGGATTTCAGTAACCTGAAACAGGACGGCATTAAAGAGGTCCACGAGGTGATCGGCAAGTTGTGAGTGCATGACAAGAGTGAGAAACTCATACGAAATACCGTCATCACCGCAAGATTTGCCTGTTTTTGTGGTGGAAAGTGCGTCCAAAACTTCAGTGGCAGTGATGAGGGGAGGTTTCCAGAAGGAGGACACGCGGTCAAGATACAGTGAGAGGGCGGAAATGTTAGCAATAGCGGGGTCAGAGGGCGTATATTTAAGCCGATAAAAGACTTTGAGGTCTCCAGTGGCCTTCAGAACTCCTCCTGCACGTGCAATGTAATTATTATGCATGGTCAAAGTGTTCTGTCTGCGTTTGAAGAAGGCGATTGCGCCGAAATCTCCTTGTGCACCACGGTCCAACAGTTTGGTTAACCAGGCCTGCTTAGCTACTGCTCTCATGCGTAAGATATCCTGGCCAAGATTCCTAGCTTCCTGACCCGAGAGTGCGCGGCGTTGCTTGATCAGATCCAGTATATCGGGCGGATCCCGATATCTATAGCTTTTAGGTCTGAAAGAGACTTGTTTGGCTACACCTTCAAGATCCGAAACCTGGAAATCTCGACCATGGAGCTCAAGGTCGGCAGCGAGACGATCGCAGGCTGGAAGGGCTTTAGTGCCGTCAATTCTCCACTGGCCACAACGAGTATGTGTGCGCTTATGTCTTGGGGTCTTGAGGGGTCGTGGTCCAGAAGTCCGAAAGGCAACCGATACAGCCCTGTGGTCATTGGAGCTGGAGCCTGGCACCAAAAAGATAGCCCTGGCCGAATGGGCCAGAGTCTCTCAGATGCTCCTCCTTTGTTCCAATAGAGGCGGAGGAAAGGAAACCCATGACGTGCTTGTGGTGCGCCTGGTTCTTAGCTTCGAGCTTCTGGAAAGAAGACAGAAGGACTGTCGGATCGCTGGAGAATAGAGACTCCTTGATCGGTTTTGCTTTGAAATTCTCGTCTTCGGGCGTGAGTTTCACACCAATTTGTGGAGCGATCTCTCTGAGATCATCCACGAGCTTGCTTCCCCAGGTCAACTCATCGACCTGTTTGGAACTTGGAAAGACCAACTCTCCGGCAGAGGCAGTCTTGACCTGAGTAAAGAAGGATGCCTTTCCTTCCTCAGCCAATGCTTGCTCGAGCCACTTCGAGCTGTCAGCCATTCTCGCAGTTCAATGAGAATCGAACTCAGAGCGCTTTGGTAGCAAGCTACCAAGATGTCAAGTCACGGGCCTCGCGAGGCCCGTTTGCTTGCTTGCTTGAGCCATTTTAGTATTTAGGGTTTACGGGTTTACGGTTTAGGGTTTAGGGCCAGGGTTCAGGGTTTAGTGTTCAGGGTTTACGGGTTTACGGTTTAGGGTTTAGGGTTTAGGGTCAGGGTTTCGGGTTTAGGGTTCAGCAGCTCCGGATCGAGCAGTTTTAAAGTACAGTTGTGTTTACGGTTTAGAGATTACACCCACCCACCCGTAGAATCCCATAACATTGAGAAAATACAAAGTTTTACTTTATTCTCTCAAATAAGTACTATTCATAGTTGACTTTCATTCACACTTACATGATTTGATGATCCTAGAACCTTAAACCTTATACAGCCTTAAATTTTTATTCAGATATGCAAAACCCCACCCCACCCTCGAACATCAAAGAATGTAGATCTAAACCACAAGTGTGTGGGGGATTTGCCCACTTAAACCTAAACCCCGAAAATTGCTTTAAACAGTTAGTGGTGCAGGGGTCTGGCGCACTAAACCCCGAAAATTGCCTTAAACAAGAATTGGTATAGGGGTCTGGCACCAGGATACGGAAATTTGACCAGCTAAACCCCGAAAATTGCCTTAAACAGGAATTGGTATAGGGGTCTGGCGCGAGCGCGGGGTGCGGAAGTCTGGCCAGCTAAACCCCGAAAATTGCCTTAAGCAAGAATTGGTATAGGGGTCTGGCACCAGGATACGGAAATTTGACCAGCTAAACCCCGAAAATTGCCTTAAACAGGAATTGGTATAGGGGTCTGGCACCAGGATACGGGAGTCTGGCCAGCTAAACACCGAAAATTGCCCTAAACAGGAATTGGTATAGGGGTCTGGCACCAGGATACGGAAATTTGACCAGCTAAACCCCGAAAATTGCCTTGAACAGGAATTGGTATAGGGATCTGGCGCGCGCGCGGGGGCCGGAGCTCTGGCCAGCTAAACCCCGAAAGTTGCCTTAAACAGAAATTGACATTAAAGTTTAAATATTCATATGATAAAGAGGTTTAGGGTCAGGGTTTAGGGTTTAAGGTTTTAGGGTTTAAGGGCTTAGGGTTGAGGGTTTAAGGTTTAGGGTTCAGGGTTTAGGCTTTGGGTTTAGGGTTTAGGGTTTAGGGTTTCGGGCTCAGGGTTTACGGTTTAGGGTTTTGGGTTTAGGGCTCAGGGTCTAGGGTTAGGGTTTTGGGTTTAGGGTTTACGATTTACGACTTACGGGTCAGGGTTCAGGGTTGCTCACGGTTCAGGGTTGGTCAGGGTTTAGGGTTTAGGGTTTGGGATTAGGGTCTAGCCTCAGGGTTCAAGATTTACGCGAGTTATTGCGGGGGTGTAGGTTTTACGGTTTAGGGCTTCTTATGAAGAGTTTAAGGGTTTAGGGTTTAGGGTTGAGGGTTCAGGGTTCAAGGTTTAA